ACGCCGTTGACTGCGCAGAGTTTGACTACGGCAACCTCCTGCTGGCCTTTCATCCGGACTTAATGGACAGCGACCCTCCCTGCCTGCACTCTGGGGACCTGCTAAACCTCATCTTAGGAGACGTCACATCCCTGAAGAGCTTCGACTCCCTGACGGGGTGCGGAGATGACATTGCCGAGCCCGACATTGCGGAGAGCACCATCTCTGTGGAGCGCAGCAGAGACGCTGCTAAACGGAGCTCCTGCCTGGTCACCTACCAGGGCGGTGGGGAGGAGATGGCCATACCCGAGGAGGTGGAGGAGTACCTCCACCAGATATGGAACAGCAACACGGCAGGGGACAGGAGCTACGGAGCCCAGGTGTCCAGCAGCAGTTTGGAGACTCATGCCTCGCACGAGGCGGAAGCCCACCCCTACGTGGGGGACGCGATGGATGGCGTTGACCTCCTGACGCCGCAGAGTGACCAGCAAGAGTCCGCCCCTAATAGCGACGAGGGTTATTACGACTCCACCACGCCGGGGCCGGAGGACGAAGCCGGAGACGGGCTCGGGGAAATCAAGAAGGACCGTCTGCCCAGAGACAGTTACAGCGGTGATGCACTTTATGAGTTCTACGAGCCCGATGATGCGCTGATGAGTCCCTCCCACGGGGAGGAATCCCTGTTTGAGAGCAAAGTCTCGCACCCGGGGATCTTCAGCTACTTCTTGGACATCTGCCCCCCTGCTGAGAAGAGCCTGAACCAAATGATGGATCAGAAAAGAGGGGTGATGGAAACGGAAGAAGAGCGGCTCGCGGCCATTCAGAAAGAGCTGCTCTACTGGGAGCTGCAGAGGGAACCGGTCTTGAAACGCCTTGATGTTCCCAGCAAGGAAAAGTGTCCCCGGGAAAAGCAGTGCGTTGAATGTAAAACTAGAGCGACCAGCTCGCTTGGCAAGAATCAGAGTGGCCTTGGTAGCGAGCAGGTGGCCTCACACGCCCCAAACAGGGGTGTGAATAGTGGGGTTTTGGTGGCTAGAGCTGAAAATCCAGAGTGGAGGGATTTTCCAGGGACTCTGTGTCCAGAAAACTGTTACAACAGCCAAAAAGCCCAAGGAAATTGCCTTATTCAGCTCACGAAGAGCAACCCGGGGTTTGATTCAGACCTGGATCGTGGGTTGTTTGGGGGCTCCGTCCACGGCGGCGCAGCCCCAGCCAAAGCAGGGCTGTTCCCCAGTTACAGGCTCCCAGAGCAGGAGCGTGGCAGCGGCGGTGCGGATGCCACCACCGGCGAGCCCCAGGTGGGCAGCGAGCCCGAGCACGCTGTGAGCTTCTCGCAGGCGCTGGTGGAGTTTGCCAGCAGCGGGACCCTCTTCTCCAGCCTCTCCGAAAGCCTGGGGAGCTCTGCCTCCAGCTCTTCCTTCACCCAGAACCTCCCCGCCCTCCCCACCATGGTCACCTTCGACGTGGTCGACGTGGAGCAGGAAGGGGAAGGGGAGTGCGAGCAGCATCCCGAGATGAACGCCGGCGAGGACATTGCCGAGGCCTTTGACGACAGCTACGGACGGAAAGAGTCGTTGGCTGAATGTGACGAGAGAATGTCCCCGGGGTACCCCCCGGGCCCCTTCCAGAGCTGCAACTGGGGTGTTGCCAGCCTGCCGCGCCACCTGCGCCTCCACGGGCTGAGCCCCTCCATGCCCGCACCGCTCTCCGTCAACCGGAGGAGCCGGTCTCTTGACACGGAGAGCCTGGAGTTTGAGCTTGCCGACTCGCAGGTGGCCAGGAGCGGCCCTCAGCTCTGCCGGCTCTGGTCCAAGCGGGAGGGTGGCAAAAAGGACTCGGGGGGGGCGAGGAGAAGCAGGAGCAAGGAGGAGGGCGAGCTGGTGGCTCCTGATGGC